CTGCCCGCATCGAAAAGAGTCAGCTGCGAGCTTCCCACCATGAGCAGCGGCGGCCCGCCCCCTTCAGCCCCCGCCCTCACCGCTATGCTCGAGACGGGCGATTTGGACGCGCGGAACCGCGACAGCACCGCGCCGTCCGCCGCGCTCAGCTCGTTGATGTAGCCGTCCATTCCGGCCGCGAACACGATGGGCGGCGCGGCGGCGGTGGCGGGGAGGAAGGCGAGCGAGACGATGCCGGCGGGATCTACGGAGGCCTGGCGCCATGCCACGGCGCCCATCGCCACGTCCCACGCGATGACGTCACCATACGCCGTGCCAAGCACCACTAGCGCGTCTGCCTGCGCGCCAGCCGCGCCCTTGCCTTTCTTCCCCGCCTTCCCCGCCTTCCCCTCCCCCGAACCCCGCGCGCGCTCCGCCCACGTCATGCACGAGTAGCGCAGCTCCAGGTGTCCGCGCTCGCCCTCCCCCGCGTCTGCGCCGAGAGGGAGAATGTCCCCGTCTGCTGACACCCGGTTCGCCACGTCAGCACACTCGACGACCAGCCTGCCGGCAACAGCGTCCCAGACCTTGAGACGGTTGTCCGCCATACACGTGGCGAGACGGGAGCCGTCGGCATTGAAGGCGATCAGGCGGGGTCTGCGAGATCTGCTACTGTGCGCCTTAACCGACGCCATCGTAACTCCTCAGCACGCGTAATGCAAGGTGGTGAGGAGCTTATTCGTGAACCTTGCACGACTTGGGATTGGAGTGATCAGGTCAGAGCGAGTGGATAATTGATATGCTCGACTAAACCAGCAAAACCCTTCGCGGAGAACCCTAAATCTGGTGTAATTGTGGCGAAAGAAAGGCTGGTCTGGGAACACCAGTGGACAAGTAGGGCAGTTCAAGTCCCTGGGTGTGCGGGTGGCACAGCTTCGCAAATGTATTTTTGCGAAATGGCGAAGTCTGTTTCTGGAGCAATGGGCCTGTTCGCACTGTACCTCACCTCGCAATCCCTGACAAATTCAGAATGCACTTCGAAAAAGCTGGGGAAGAAGCAATTTCGTGTTTGTTTGGGCGATGTGATGCTAGAATGTTCCGGTGGAAAGATTGATAACGCGTACAATGCAGCTCGCCTGAAATTCCTTCCACATTCCCTCGGGTCCGTGTTTGCTCCCTTCGCCTCCCCTATTCTGATTCGCCCTTCGTTGCACTCGTTCTCACCCACGCTATACCTGTAGCGTGTCGCGCGCATCATTCCGTTCCGACCCACGCGCGTCGCGCACATTCTTCCAAGCGCCTCGTTTACCGCGTCACCGCCATTCGACCCAATGGCCCCATCGCTCCGCGCGCAACTCCCCTGCGCCGCATCCCCTTCGCGCGCATGTCTCCCCCATAGCCTTCCTGCCAAATGCCCCTTACCTGCGCGCGAAAGTTGCGTGAGAGGGGGACCCGCCTTGCCCCTCTCCTCTTCACACACCCGCAATGGCCGGCCCCTTTTAATTAGGCGCTCATTTTCTGATAGACACAGACACGCGGAATTCTCGCCGCGATCGTCGCTAGACTCCCCCCCTGAAGCGCAAGCGGAGACGCTGCCGGAATCCCCGCTTCCCTCCGCCGCCCCTTCCCCCACAACTCCGCCAATCGAGCCCCGTCCCACGTGGCTGGAGTATGACATGGCGCTACACGACAAAGACCTCTCACGTGCGTTGTCCATCGCTACCGCTTTAGCCCCGCAGAAGACGACAGACGAAACCGCCCCAAAATCCGCCGAATTCCTGGATTTACCCGCGGAGACCGCGGGGATAGTGTCTGCTGGGGGACCGGGGCAGGCGCAGATCGAAGGGGGGCCTGCGGGGAAGCGGGAAGTGCGGGGGGAGGAGGCGGAGGAGGAGGCGGAGCGGCAGCGGCGGTGGCTGCAGCTGCTGGAGGTGGGGAAGGCGGAGAGCGACCTGCGCGTGGTGGGGCAGACGTACGAGTGGCTGCGCTCCCAGGGGCTCCTCAGGAACTTTGGCCGCTTCCAAAACAGCAGTGCGTGGCGGCGGTGGGGACAGAGAGCGACGGGAGGGGAGAGATGAGTGCAGTGAGGTGTGCTGACAGCGGTGCCTCCAGCCGGTTCTTGCTGGCTCGCGCTGCCACTGCCACCACGCTTTCCTAATGCCCTCTTTTCTTTCTCGCTCGTGCCCACTCACATTGCTCCCGCCTTGTCCCCACACGTGGCGCCACAGTATTGGAGGGCGTGCCGCGGGTCGTCACTCCCAAGGTGCTCAAAGACCGGTCGGGCCTCGAAGGTTCGTGCACATGCCTCCCTCCTGCCCTATCGCCTTCTACCTTGACTCGCAAGCCTGCCCCCTCCGCGCTTCTCCTACACTCCTCTCACCCTTCTCCCCGTCAACCCAGCACTCTCCCTTCTTCTGTTCCATCGTCCCCTTCTTCCCCCTTCCCCCAGCCAAGAACCTAGCCCCCCAGAAGTGGGGCATGTCGTCTCCACTGCTCCCCATCGCGCTCTTCGCGGCCTTCTCCGCCCTCGTGGATGCGGGGGTGGACCTGCGCCCACTCGCCTTCATCTCGCTCGCCCTCGCTGTGGGGGACGCGGTGTACCTGGGGGGGGCGGGCGCGGGCCAGCTGCTCATGCTGCTCTGGGCGCCCTTCCGCGAGCGCGTGCTGGTGCACGAGGCGGGCCACATCGTAGCAGGTGGGTGGGGTGGCACAGGGAATGAGAGGTGGGCATGGACTGGGTGCTCTCTATTTGCTGCCTCAGCCATCCTCAAACTCGCACTCCACTCCCCCACACGCCCCCACTCATCTCAACCAAACCCCACCCCACTCACCTCCGCCACCAGCGTACCTGCTGGGGTGTCCGGTGCGGGGGGTGGTGCTGGACGCGTTTGAGGCGATGCGCATGGGGGTGAGGGGGCAGGCGGGCACGCAGTTCTGGGACGAGCGCCTCGAGGACGAGCTGCGTGCAGGCCAACTATCATCTGCCTCTGTCGACCGGTAAGTGCCTTTTGGATCTCCTTTGGACCGCTGCTTCTCCTCTCCCTTCTCCCTGCTCCTCCACCCCTCCCTTCTCCCCTCCCTCCTCCCCTCCCTCCTCCCCTCCCTCCTCCATACTCCCTGTACTCCTCCCTGCTATCTCTCTCATTTGCGTGTGTCTCTTCCCACCTACTCTGTTCTCCGAAACCTCTCTTTCCATCTCTTTCCTCGCTACCTCTCCTCTCACCTTCTTCTCCTTTCTTTCCCGATGCAGGTACAGCATAGTGCTGTTCGCGGGGGTGGCAGCGGAGGCGGTGCAGTACGGGCAGGCGGAGGGAGGGGAGGGCGATGAGAATCTCTTCAAGGCCTTCCTCTCCAACCTGCAGCCCTCCTGGTCCGGCCCCCAGGTGTGTGCGTGCTTACCGCCGCTGCCCCTGCTGCCACCCCATGCTGCTGTTGCAGTACGTTAAAGCATGGCATCTGCTCGTGCTCCCCTCAGCTCTCTAGTGCGCTGCCGTTGGGTCATTTGCCCACAAACGCTGTGCTCTGTCTGCTCTCACCACACCCTCCTACCCACCATCTCCGCAGATGGCCAACCAGGCACGGTGGGCAGTGCTGCAGGCGTATTTGCTGCTGCAGCGCAACCGCGCGGCACACAGTGCAGTGGTAGAGGTGCTCAAGGCGGGTGGCGGCATGGGGGACGTGGTGATGGCCATAGAACAAAACATGGCCGGCTGACTCACTGCAAGGAGGGAACTGAGATTGCTGTAGCAAGGTGTCAAATCTGTGAATATTTGTGGTCTTGTGGAGTAATAAGCAAGATGCGTTTATTACCGATTATCTAATCTATCTAAAATCACAGTTTCATATTCTTCAGTTGCCTCTACCGTATTTAGACTCCTCCTTCCGCATAACAGGTCTGATCAATATGTTCATGGTGTGAGATTTCTCTGTGTACAAGCTTATACCGTACTTGCATACCAGATCACCTGCATTCACTTTAGTATGGCATCCAGTAGGACGTGTACAAACAGCAAGTTCCAAGATCCTAAAGGTGCAATCAATATAATCCATTCATTCTCTGCCTAGACATCATACAGTAACAAGCTGTCTAATCCCAGTAGTATCCTTCCTAGAGCTAATATTTTGAACCACGTGTTCATCATAAGCCCTCCAGGGACTACTATCCATGCATGCCATCCATGCCCACCCCGGCGTGGACTGGCAGTGCACTGCACAGGCAGAGAAGAAGGCTGAGCCTTGAGCATTTCCAGGACCAAGACGTGCGGGTGCCCTACTAGGGACTGGCTCTGCCCACCCCCACCTCCACCAAATGACATCACTGCTGGCCAGACAGTTTTGTCACTTGGTGGGGGCGGGAGGGGACAGAACCAATCCGGTTTGGCCTGGAATCGAGTCCCCTCCCCAGCCAATGCTCAAAGCTTCAACCCCTCTCATGCACTGCCTTCAACCTCCAACAGCCATGATTGCTGCCCAATGCCCATGAAGGCACCTGCATGGTAAAAAAGGAAAAAAACTGGTCCAGGTTCTTGAAAAACAGGAAGGAGGCAGCATGCGTTAAAGCAAAATGCTGAACACAGACTCATAAAATAGATTCAGCAAAAACCAACAAGGCGCTAAGGCCTGAGACTTATCTGTAGTTGGGGAGTTAAAGGTGTTGAGCAGTGCACAGGGACTTGGAGCTTCACAGGCGTGCAGAGAGCCCTTGGAGAGAACCTGCCACGAGGTGAAGGAACTAAGTCAGTGAACGAAATTAACTTGAAGCCACAACATGAATAAAGCAAAGGAATCAGCAAGCGTGGAAGCAAAACGGGATAGTGCAGCAACTGAATCAAGCAGTGAAGGCAAGGGTTAGGCAACTTATCTCGCCATTCTTGAGCCTTAGCGCGCCTCAGCAGTCCATAGTGCTAAAATGGATGTTGAGCATGCTGAAATTCCTTGATGGAGAAACCTGCCACATAAAGTAAAAGTCGAGTTAGAATATCAAGTGACTTAAAAAAAAATCTACCAACAGAAAGCAGGACATGAGGGGTAGAAGTCCAGAGAGACGGGACATACTGCTGGTGGAGAGAGAGGAGGCGCCTGCCAGTGGTGTCGGCAGGTACGTTCACCCCGCCTCGAAGCGTAACAGTGAGCCACAAGGGCCTTGAATATAACCTGCAAGTTTAAATACAAGTATATATTATTAAACAGATCCAAGAAAAGCATAAAAAGCAAGACCTGCAAAAAAAAAAAAAAAAAAAAAAAAAACAACAACAACAACAACAACAACAACAACAACAACAACTGTCATAACATATCTATAGCTTATACTATTGTGTAGGCTGTAGTGGGGTATCCCATAGGGGGTACAACCCAGTTAGGGTTTCATATTTGTACTGCCTTCATTCATAGTTCACACATTCCTGTTCACTTGTTTCACATGGTATAGAGCGGGTCCTTCCTAAGGACCGTTTTTTTTAGGGCCCACCGAAGCGCGCCCCGAGGCGCGCATTTTTTTTAGCGACCCCTCGGGTCGCCATTTCCCTCGCGGCCCCGCTGCCCCTCCTGATCGCGGCCCCGCCGCCTGCTTGACGCGGCCCCGCCGCCTCCACTGACGCGGCCCCGCCGCCTCCACTGACGCGGCCCCGCCGCCGGCTCTGACGCGGCCCTGCCGCCCGCTTCGTCGCGGCCCCGCCGCCTGCTTGACGCGGCCCCGCCGCCTCCACTGACGCGGCCCCGCCGCCGGCTCTGACGCGGCCCTGCCGGCCCGCCGCTGCACCTTACGGCCCGCCGCTGCACCCTACGGCCCGCCGCCTCACCTGACGGCCCCGCCGCTGCGCCTGCCGGCCCGCCGCTGCACCCTACGGCCCGCCACTGCACCCAGCGGCCCGCCGCTTCACCTGCCGGCCCCCCGCTGCACCCTACGGCCCGCCGCTGCACCCAGCGGCCCGCCGCTTCACCTGACGGCCCCGCCGCTGCACCTACCTGCCCGCCGCTGCACCCTACGGACTCGCCGCTGCACCGGTCGACCCGCCGCTGCACCTGCCGGCCCGCCGCTGCACCTGACGGCCCCGCCCCTGCATCTCCCGGCCGAGCCGCCCCAGCAGCAGAGCCGCCCCAGCAGCCGAGCCGCCCCAGCCGCCGAGCCGCCCCAGCAGCCGAACCGCCCCCGCAGCTGAAACGCCCCAGCAGCCGAGCCGCCCCAGCAGCCGAGCCGCCCCAGCAGCCGAGCCGCCCCAGCTGCAGTGCCGCCCGAGCCGCCCGAGCCGCCGAGTCGCCCGAGCCCTCCCTGCACTGCCCTGTCTGGTGAGCACTGAGCTTTACTCTGCGCACTGCCCTCTCTCTACTGCTGTCATGGCTACCCCCAGTGTCCTCGCCTTTGACGCTGAGGGCAGAGCCATTGACTTTGACGTGTGGGTAGACGACCTACTGCTTTTCCTACAGTGCGACAGAGCTGACGGACTCTCTCTCTTTGATCTCACTTCTGGTGCCTCTCCCGCCCCTGCTGCTACTGAGGATGCCACTGTTCGCTCAGTGTGGGCCACACGCGATGCTGCTGCACGTCTTGCTGTGCGTCGCCACCTCCCTCCCGCTGAGCGTGCGCACTTTGGGTCGTACAAGAGTGCTAAGACCTTGTACGACGCCGTTATCGCACGCTACTCCACCCCTGCCACTGCTGCACTGAGCCGCCTCATGCTACCGTACCTCTTTCCCGACCTTGCTGCTTTTGCCACAGTCGCCGACCTCATTACCCACCTGCGCACTAGTGACGCTCGCTTCCGCGCTGCACTTCCTGCTGAGTTCTGCGCCAAGAACCCCCCCCCCCAGTACTTCACCCTCTACTACATTGTCACCCGCCTCCCTGACTCCCTTCGCGGAGTCAGGGACGACCTACTCGCAGTCTGCCCCACCACTCTCACTGTCGAGATCCTCGAGAAGTCCCTCCTCGCAGCTGAGAAGAGCATTCTCGCTGTAGGGGCCTCTCGTGGTGACCCGCGCACCCCCATCTTTGAGGGGTGTTCCCCCTCCCCCCTCCTGCCCTCTGTCGCCTCTGCTGCTACGGCCGACCTGGTTGGTTTTGAGTCGGTCGGAGCGGCGTCTGCCCCCAGCGGGAGACGTCGCTCTGGCAAGAGCAAGGGGGGCAGGGGCGGTGGTGGAGGCGGCGGGGGCGGTGGAGGCGGAGGTAGAGGCAGCGGCGGAGGTGAGGGTGGTAGCGGGAGTAGTGGCGGGAGTGGAGGTGTCGGCGGAGGCAGTGGAGGTGTCGGCGGAGGCAGTGGAGGCGGGGGCGGCAGCGGCGGTGGTAGTGGGGGTGGAGGCGGAGGCGGCGGTGGCGGCGGCGACGGTGGGAGTGGCGGTGGCGGTGGAGGTGGTGGCGGCGGCGGCCGAGGAGGCGGCGGAGGAGGCGGCGGAGGTCGTGGCGCGCCGAGGAGGAGTGGCTCCGGTGGTGGTCAGCGCCAGCAGCAGCAGCGTGGTCAGGAGACCCTCTCCCCGCAGCAGCTCCGTGAGTGGTACTCTGCGCGTCAGCGGGGTGGGGGTACTGGTCCGTGCACTTATGTCCTGCGCACTGGCGACCGTGCGGGTGAGCAGTGTGGTGGTTCACACTCCGCCCAGCGTTGCTTCGGCCGCCTGACTGACGCTTGGCGCCGCCAGTTTCCTGACGCCTCTGAGATCCCTCGCTGGGACCAGCTGTCTAGGGCTGGAGTAGCTATCTTTGATCTTGACTTTGATGCTATTCTTGCTGCTATGTATGCTGTGACTATTAGTGAGGAGAGTGACTGTTACCGGTGTTTCCCGCCCGACCCGGGCATTGGTACTGCGGCTCTAGGTGCTGTTGAGGCTGCTGCTCCAGGTGCTGGTGAGGCGGTTGCTCTAGGTGCCAGTGAGTCTGAGTCCTCAGGTGCTGGTGAGTCTGCTCTCTCAGGTACTCTTTCACCCTCTTTCACTTTCACTTTCACTCTTGACTTCACCCTCTCTCACTTTCACTCTTGACTCCGGGGCGTCTCGCTCGTTCTTTCGAGACCGCACCACACTCACGCCGCTTAGTCGGCCAGTGGCGGTCTCCTTGGCAGACCCCTCCGGGGGTCCTGTTCTGGCTCGCTACTCCACTGTCCTGCCGTGCCCTGCGGTCCCGTCTGGCGCCCTGTCCGGTCTCTACCTCCCCTTGTTCTCCACGAACTTGGTGGCGGGTGCTGACCTACAGGATGCAGGGGTTGACCAGTTCACCCCTGCGCGCCGACGAGTCACCCACTGCACGGACGCGGACACGGGTCGACACCTGACCACATTCACACGTGGTCCAGGGTCGAGCCTATACACACTCACTGTTTCGTCTCCTTCTCCTGCGTCTGGTCAGGTAGCTGCGTCTGGTCAGGTGTTTGCTGCAGCGTCCAGGTCTGGTCCTGAGTCTGCCCCCTGCTCGTGTCGCCTCCTGTCCCACGAGACCCTCCTGTGGCACCACAGGATGGGTCACCCCTCCCTGCCTCGTCTCCGGGGCATGGCCTCTCGCCTTCTTGTCTCTGGCCTTCCCCTGTCCCTCCCTCCCCTTCCTCGGGGGCCTGGCCCTCCCTGTGTCCCCTGTGTCGAGGGTCGCCTGCGGGCTACCCCTCACTCCTCCCCGTTCCCTCCGACGGAGGCCCCGATGCAGACGCTTCACATGGACGTGTGGGGCCCAGCCCGCGTCCATGGACAGGGTCACGAGCGCTACTTCCTGCTGGTGGTTGACGACTACTCGCGTTACACCACAGTCTTCCCCTTGCGCAGCAAGGGTGAGGTCACTGAGGTGCTGATCGACTGGATCCGCGCAGCTCGTCTCCAGCTCAGGCGGAGCTTCGGCTCGGACTTTCCTGTTCTGCGTCTGCATTTAGACAGAGGCGAAGAGTTCTCCTCCGGCCTTCTGCGAGCCTACTGTCGTGCACGAGGCATCCGCCAGACCTTCACGCTTCCGGACTCTCCAGAGCAGAATGGGATTGCTGAGCGCCGCATCGGCATTTTCATGGACGTCGCCCGTACGTCCATGGTGCATGCGGCTGCCCCCCATTTTCTGTGGCCGTTTGCGGTTCGGTACGCCGCGCATCAGATCAACCTTCAGCCCTGAGTCTCCCGACCGGAGACCTCCCCAGCTTTGCTGTGGACGGGGAAGGTTGGCGATGCGTCGGCGTTCCGTGTCTGGGGATCTCGGGCGTTTGTCCGCGACTTGTCTGCGGACAAGCTGTCCCCTCGTGCTGCTCCCTGTGTCTTCCTTGGCTTCCCCACAGACGCTCCCGGGTGGCAGTTTTACCACCCCTCCTCTCGTAGTGTTTTGTCCTCCCAGGACGTCACGTTCGACGAGTCAGTCCCCTTCTACCGCCTCTTCCCCTACTGCACTCCTTCCCTCCCCCCTCCGCCGGACTTCCTTGTGCCAGTTCCCCCCCCGGTAGACCCCCTCCCCCCTCAGGTTCCTGCCCCCTTAGGTGTGTCCCAGGTAGACGCTGTTGACCCGGTCGAGGTTACTGGTGACTCTGGTGCTGCTGCGGGTGCTGAGCCTGGGGGTGCTGACTCTGGGGGTGCTGTGCGCGGGGGTGCCGAGCCTGGAGGTGCTGCTACTGGGGGTGCTGAGCCTGGGGGTGCTGGGCCTGGGAGTGCTACTGCAGAGGGTGCTGAGCCTGGGGGTGCTGAGCTGGGGGGGTACGGTGCCTGGAGCTGCTGAGCTAGGGGGTGCTGGGTCTGGGGGTGCTGGGTCGGGAGCTGCTGAGCCTGGGGGTACTGAGTTTGGAGCTGCTGAGCCTGGGGGTGCTACGTCAGGAGCTGTTGAGCCTGGGGTTTCTCCTGCTGCTGCGTCTCGCCGGGAGCCCCTCTCTCCACAGGAGCTGCGCGAGTGGTTTGCTCGCCGCTGGAGGCGTGCTGCTGGAGCTGGAGCTTCTTCGACCGTCGAGGGTGCTGGTGCTGCCGGTCCCGGAGCTGCTGGGTCTGCGGGTACTCCTGGAGCAGGAGCTCCTAAGGGTGTTGGTGCTGAGACTACTGCTGTCTGTCCCGACGGTGGTTCTACTACTGGTGCTGCTGGAGGTCCTGCCGCTGGAGGTGTTGGTGGCGCTGGTGCTGTCGGTGAGGGTGCTGGTGCTGTCCCTGCTAAGTCTGGAGTTGCCGCGCGGCCTCGGCCGTACTTCGTTCCGCTCTTACAGCAGGTTCTTGGTCTTTCTCCTCCGGTAGAGTGTCCACAGCCTGTCCAGTCGCAGTCCCTGTTGGAGCCTTCCTCTCCACTGCCTGCTCCCTCTCCTTACACTGGTCCTACTGGAGGTCTTGCTGAGCGTCGTGAGCCTGCGTCTCGTCCTGCGTCGCCTGTTCGTGCTGCTCGCACTAGTGGTCGCGGTTCGCGTCAGCGTCCTCCTCCTGTCCCTGGCACGTACCGGATGTCTCTGCGTCCGTCCACTGCTCCTCTGCGTGCCCCTTTGCCTTCTCCTCCTGAGTCCTCTCTTCCTGCGCTTGCCGACCCTGAGTCGGACTCTCTTCGTGCTGCCAGTCCTACTGTCACGCGTCTCCTTGCTACTGTCGTCACTGACCCCTCGTTTGAGTCCACTGCTGCGTCTGCCCTTGTCGCTCAGCTCGTCGACTTAGCTGCTCGCTGTCGTCTAGACTACGCTGCTAGTCTTGTTGCTGAGTCAGCGTCTGACTGTCCTCTGTCCGTCGGGGGTGACAATGCTCTTGGCACGGACGTCCTAGAGGACAGGCAGAAGGAGTTCCAGTGTCTGGCGGCTGCTTCACCTCATCTCGCGTCTGTACTGCTTGCTCCTGAGGGAGACCCGGATGCACTAGACATCCCGACTCCGCGCTCTTACGCGGAGGCCGTAGAGGGTCCCTACTCGTCTCAGTGGCAGGCAGCTATGGATGCAGAGATGGCTTCCTGGAAGTCCACAGGCACCTACGTTGACGCAGTTCCCCCTCCTGGGGCGAACATCGTCAGTGGCATGTGGATCTTCAGGGTGAAGCGGCCGCCGGGCTCTCCACCTGTCTTCAAGGCGCGGTACGTTGCTCGTGGCTTCAGTCAGCGGCAGGGAGTTGACTACTTTCAGACCTTCTCTCCCACCCCGAAGATGACCACTCTTCGGGTGCTGCTGCACATAGCCGCTCAGCGCGACTACGAGCTTCACTCTCTCGACTTCAGCACTGCGTTCCTGCAGGGTAGCCTGCACGAGGAGATCTGGCTGCGCCGTCCACCTGGCTTCACTGGGACTTTCCCTCCTGGCACCCAGTGGAGCCTCCATCGGCCAGTCTACGGTCTCCGCGAGGCACTGCGTGAGTGGCACGACACACTGAGGACTACGCTTGCGGCTCTTGGGTTTGCTCCTTCTACTGCTGACCCGTCGCTGTTTCTGCGCACCGACACTTCTCTGCCGCCGTTCTACATCCTCGTGTACGTCGACGACTTGGTCTTTGCCACAGCGGACACTGCCGGACTTGCCTACGTGAAGTCCGAGCTGCTGAAGAGACAGACGTGCACAGACCTGGGTGAAATGCGCAGCTACCTTGGCTTGCAGATCACTCGGGACAGAGCACGCCGCACCATTACCTTGACTCAGTCACACATGGTGCAGCAGGTCCTTCAGCACTTCGGCTTCACGTACTCCTCGCCTCCGGCCACTCCTCTACCTACTCGCCACTCGCTCTCAGCTCTGCCTTCGGATGAGTCCGTAGAGTCGAGTGGCCCGTACCCAGAGCTTGTTGGCTGCCTCATGTACCTGATGACCTGCACACGACCTGACCTTGCATACCCTCTGAGCATTCTTGCACGCTATGTTGCTCCTGGGAGACACCGACCAGAGCACATGGCTGCAGCGAAGAGGGTGTTGCGCTACCTGTGCAGTACGTCGGGCATGGGGCTAGTGCTTGGAGAGCGCAGTCCAGTGGTCCTTACAGGGCATGCGGACGCTTCTTGGGCTGACGACCAGGCTACGCAGCGGTTGTCACAGGGTTACACCTTCAGTCTTGGTTCCGGCTCTGTTTCGTGGCGGGCTACTCGCTCGTCTTCGGTTCTCAGCTCCAGTTGTGAGGTTGAGATCTACGCTGGGGCCATGGCTGCACAGGAGCTTCGCTGGCTCACCTACCTGCTGACTGACCTTGGAGAGCCGCCTCGTTCTCCTCCAGTGCTGTACGTAGACAACAAGGCCATGCTGGCCTTATGTCGAGAGCAGCGTTTGGAGCACAGAACGAAGCACATTGCTCTTCGTTACTTCCTTGCTCGTGAGCTGCAGCAACACTGGACAGTTGCGGCTTGCGTACATGGCCTCTGAGGCCAACACTGCTGATGTGTTCACCAAGGCACTCGCGCCTTGTGACCATCAGCGCCTCTGCACCCAGCTGGGTCTTGTGCCTGTCTTGCCTCACTTGCTCTCCTCTTGACTTTACTTGTAGTGTGACATATATATATACCTGCTCTTGCTTGTCTAGTTTTATATATATATGTCTGTACTCTTGCATGTGAACTGGCCTCTGGCCCTGCTCTTGTGCTCGGACTGTGTGGTGACTTTGTGATCCACCCCGAGCTTGCTTTGCTTTGCTTTGCTTGACTGGTCTTGTGACCCCTTGTTCTCCCCCACTTTGCCTATGGGGGTGTGTCAGAACATATCTATAGCTTATACTATTGTGTAGGTTGTAGTGGGGTATCCCATAGGGGGTACAACCCAGTTAGGGTTTCATATTTGTACTGCCTTCATTCATAGTTCACACATTCCTGTTCACTTGTTTCACAACAACAACAACAACAACAACAACAACAACAACAACAACAACAACAACAACAACAACAACAACAACAACAACAACAACAACAACAACAACAACAACAAGAGGCGACGAAATCGTCTTAGGGTTGCGAAGCGTTAAGGTGGAATGATAAATTTA